GATTCGTGGTTAGGATAGACATATACCTAATTGCCTTGCTTGGTTGATGTACAGGATTTATAAATGCGTTCTTGTTGATTCTAACTCTATAGACATATAGGCGTTAGGTTAGCTTGAATAGGCGAGTAAGAACTCGACAGATTCTTATGAGCAATATTAACCCTGTCAACCAATAAGCTAGATAAATTAGTCTGTCAATTCAATTGAAGAATACAATAGGATTGTTAGATAGCCCATAACCCTAGATCGTTTTCATTACATTGATATCATAAAAATCCGATCTTTCTCTGTTCAAAGTTCATTATTTATATTTTTTTATTTAATTAGTTTAGAATCAAATATTTTTAGGTTTAATTCTTGTTTAGATAATTAGGATAGTCTAATTTAGTTAATAGTTAATCATAAGTCCTCGTGGGTTTGACATCCGACTTTTAGTCACTTTACTACTTGACGACCGCGTATACTTGCGTGAGTGTGTTTGGTCGCAACACAATGTATTTAATCTGTTATAGCAGATTATTTATTTTATTTTATGGATTATTAATTTCATTTAATGCAGATGATTACTTATTGTTATCCTTTATCTAATTGTATAGTGTAAAAATTCTTTCAAATATCGGTATGATAAAATTCTTTTAACTATCGGTATAAAAAAATTAAACTCATTAAATACACATCTTGATTATCCGAACTGCTTTCTGTTTAATTACTTTTAAACCGTTGATAGCATTTCATTAGATAATGAAACCATATATAGAAAACAACAACTAAAGTTTATTGCACAAAGAATTCTCTTATTTTCATTAACATAATGTAATGTCACAAATGTCAAAAGCTTCAAAAGTTTGGCCCACAGGAATAGAGACAAAACAGAGAAACTTATGAACTGAAAAATAAGAAGATGCCCAAAAAAACAAAGAGGAGCTTGCCAAGAGATCAAACCAATGTCACTATCCAATTTTTAAATATCTGGGTAATGAAAAGTGAAATACGTTCACACATACGAATTTTTAATGAGCCAAAATCTAATCTAATTTTTAGGGACCTTATTTTATGTTTGTATATTTATTTTTTTTATTTTTTTTTGTTCCTTGCTCTTTTACCAAAATTTAGCATTTTCAGTTGTGTCTATAATTGTTTCAACAATGATGTCGGGAATTAAGGATACCTCCTTAATTTTTTAGGTATATTTTCAATAGTGATTTTGATTTGTTAAACTGCATGAATCCTTGTTATTACAGCCTTTAAGAATTAGAAGTAATCCAGCATAAGACTATTGTGGGAAAAATACAACCTCAACTTTCCAATAACTTTCGATACCACTAAACAATTAAATAATATAAACAGATCAAGCGTTCCAAACATAAATAAGAAAAGAAAAAAATAGAAAAGAAGGAAATAAGAGGTGGAGGCGGGGATTCATTCAACAAGTTGTTAATAGTAGAGAAAGCTAAATTTCACATTTCAAGGAATTAACATATGTCAAATTAAAGAGAAGAATTGCACAATTCCCAGGACCCCATCATATACAATTCTCCATACCCTCATATATCTCATCTCATGATGTAACAAATCATGCATCCAAAGTGAGATTTTCCATCTCACTCCATATTCCACTCACTACCTATTGTTATCTCACAAGACCTAATAGAAAAAAGAAAAAGAAAAAACTCCACCTTCCAAATTGAGAAAAAGAGAAAAAATTATAAAGAAAAAAAGGAAAGAAAATTAATTATCTAAAAATGNGAACCTTTCATGACAATTTGCAATGAACATATCAGCAAGCTTATCAATATCATTCCCATTCTTTGTATTATTTTCATTATTTTCCTCACAAGCCTTCTCTTCAAGCCATTGAAGATACCCAGAGAGTTCTGATTCATCACAAGCAGTAGAAATAATAGAATTCCACGTAGAGTCATAATAAACATGGCCAGTGGCACAATCCTCAAGTGCAGTTGGAACTGGCACTGGCATTACATGAGAAGAACACCAATTGTAGTGAAGCCTAAATGAGCCAAGAAAAAGTTTGTTGTTCTTGTACTTCTTGTTCTTCTTCATCGTGGGAAATTCAAGAAGATGGACTAATTGTACATTCTTGACAAGTTGAAACAAGATAGATTTGGCCTTGGCTAGCGCGCGAAAAATGCGGTATAAATGGGAGAAAATGAAGGATTGTACTAGGGTTTTGAACTTCACGGAGTTTAAGGTTGAAGATGATGGAGTTGTAGTAGAAGATGAAGAAGGGAGAGTTTTTGGATGAGAGGGGCCAGCCATTCTTTTTTCTTCTCTTTACTTTGGATGTGTGGGGTGTGAGTTAATGTGTCTTGTTCTAATGGATTTATAAAGGATCTTGATTACCAATTTGCCACTGGTAAGTAGGTAATTTATAGAAAGTGCCAACCACTTTGTAGAATTTCAAAACTTGTTTTTTTGTGGGTCTTTTTTTGAGTTTGTAAAAAATATTTAAACAGTCAATAATTAATTCTAAGGTTATTATAAGCAATTTTTATGGTAAAAATTAATTGATAGCCTGGTTAATAAAATGATTAACTTGCTATTATAGGTTAAACTAAATTGATAGTGTAATAGAATTTTTGCAGTGTATATAACTTAAAAGAATAGTGAACTTATTAAAAGAATGTAAAAGAATCACAACACTTAAAAAATAATACCATAACAAGTAAGATTAGTAACTTTGAAAATATGACAAGTTGCTTACTACAATACGTTATAAGTAGCTTATAATACAGTGATAGTGTAGAAATTTAGTTCCATCGTGTATGTAAGTTAATTTTTTTTTCCTTCAAGACCTTTTCTTCTTCTAGTTTGTTTTGGGGTTTTAGACAAGAATTGTACCGTCATGTTTGGTAGAGAAAAGCTAATCACAATACGGAAATTCCTATTGAATTTCTTCCAATTGAAGTAGGAACGGGATTTATTCATTTAGAGCTTTAAATTCAGGAAGAAAGTATGCAAACAATGTACTCGAATATTGACAGAGGTTCTTTTGACTAAAGTATCTTGAAGGAATGGCCATGAAATTGATAGCACAGGATATGTGGTTGGATAAACAAAGACTTAGTATTTGAAATCTGTAATTAAAATGATTATAAGCTGGCTAGTTAGCATGTAATTATAAATATAATAAACATATCTAAACCATTCATTAAATTGATAGCACATGATATGTGGCTGAAAAGAAAAAGACTTAATATTTGAAATCAGTAATTAAGATTAAACTAGCTAATGCCTATATTGTACAGTAGACTCACCAATCATGTCCTATATATAAAGCATTTCTGATTTTTTTTGGTGCCCGCTATAAATTTTGAAGTCATTTGAATGTAAATTAAAGAAGATGAAGAAAGGGGTCATTTGGGTAAAAAGTGGTCCATGACAGGTCGCTGCTGCTTGGTCTTCTAAACAAAGACACAGAAAAAGCAACCTGTGACTTGTTTACTAATGTTCTTCCACCCAAATGACCCAAAAAAACTGAAATAAAAAAAAAAAAAAGAGAAAAAGAAACAAGAAGAAAAGGAAAAAAAAGGTTAAATACCTATATACTGACATTGTAAAACCTTTTTTACACAAACTCTTCTAAAAGAAATTACAAACAATAGTTCAAAATAAGTAAATTTAGTAACCTCAAAGATACAACAAGCTATTTATTGCAATGCAGAAGACACATATCCTATTACCATTGGTTTGATGTAAATCTGTGTGAGAGTAAGTATTTACCTTAATTTAAATAAGTTTAAAAAATTATTATAAATTTATCTATCTATCTATACTATATTAGTACAAAAAATAGATATTATCTATCTATCTATCTATAAAAGCACGAAAACCCTTAGCGAAATGTCGTTTGCCTTTTTTACCCTTTAAAAATATATTTTACATTGGATAAAATTGTAATTAAATTATCTTCCTAATATTTAGAACTTGAAAATTCAAAATTTTGATTATTTAAGTATTTCCTTATTTGAAGTATATACCTAAAATTTATGACTTAAAGGAAATTAATATTTACCTTTAATAAATCATTAAAAAGGTCAAATATTTGGAAGGCCAGTACACAATTTTACGTCCATTTGAAGTAGTCAACAACTAGAGTAATTTTATTGAAGAACAATTCTACTAACATTTAGCATTTTCAACAAATTACATTAATTTATTCTCATTAAGTTGTAAGCCGATGTAAGAATAAAATTAAAACTATTAAATATATAGGAAAATAATATTTCACTCTTTTAATCTTGTCTTCTTTTATCTATCCATAAACTATTATAATAGCACGAAACTCCAACAGAAAATTGATCGATTATTTTATCATTTAAAAATATATATCATATTGGACAACAAAATCATTTCATTTGTATTTTCTACGAGTAGTATTAAGAACAACGAAGTTAACTAAAATTTTGACTATTATATCTTTCCTTATTTGACAATATAGGAACTCATAACATTTATGAATAATTTAATCCCAGAAAGATTTTACTTATATTAGTTAAATAAGTAAATTTTTGTGAGAATTTATTTTAGGAATTATTACTTTATCAAAAACAATAATAATCCTTATGACATTAGAAATCTTTCACTTCAATATGCAAAGAGACTCTTAAATTATTATTTTTTTTATATATTCAAGTGTGAATAATGGCAAGAGGAATAGACAAAAACTTTAAAATCAAATTGTACAGAAATCTACAAGAGCTCAAGATATTGTCGGATTGCTAAAATTTTGAAGATCTAAGACTTGGGTTAGCTTTAAAGTTGTAAGTTTGATATCGTGTTAATTTCTCAATATTTTTATTGGATTGGGAGCTTTTGGTTAATCTTTTTGTAGAAGATTTAAAAAGAGATANTAAGTGAAGTATATGTTATTTTTAAAAACGAAATTGAAATACAGAGATACTATACAATAGAAATTATTATAGTTTAAAAATATTTAAAAAGTACACTAAATTAGTTTGATCAAAATAATAGGTTTTTTATTTCAAGATCACAAAGAGGAGGCAATTAATGTGTAAATTAAAAAATTTAGTAGTTGCCTTATTTACTCTTTTTGGATTAATCATGGAAAAATATATTCTTTTATCTAGCATTAACTAGGAATTACGTATTTCAATTATAAGCTATGGTGTTAACCACTATACCAGAGCGTATTTGTTATTTAGGTTCCTAGCTAATGTGAAAAATATTAATAGCTATTGTCAACTCAAGTAATTCCTTTTTAATTTTATCAAAAATATTATCGTGAAGTTTCGCTTTCTGGTATCGATAAATCTATATGGGTGATAGCTATAGCATGTAATTGAAAATAAATATCAAGCTAGAAAAATGTGTGTCTAATATTATCCATCATAATTGAGCTAAAGAAAGTAAAAGCGTTACTCAACATAATCTCTTTATCGTGATAATAATTATATCTGCTAATAGGGGATGGTGCGAGAACCTAAAGCTATTCCTAATAAAATTTCAAATAAAAAAGTATATGAGAATTTTTATAAAGCAGATATCTTACTTCCTTTATTCAAGAATTTACTTTTAAAAAAACTATTTGATAAATCATATAATGAAAATATATACTATATAATTTTAAAAAATTATATTCATTGGTACGAGATACACGCGCAATGCGCGTACTCTATGACTAGTTAAAATAAAAGAGGTACGCTTAATATCGTAAACCAAAAGGAAAACTAATTCATATTATAATGCAAATCGAGGGGAGGTCCAAAATTATCCGTAATATATATATGTTAAATGCAAATCCAAAAAAGAAAGAAACAAAACATAGCCCAAGTCTCGCGGGGGTTGGGAATCAAAGAGTGAGCAACTCGAAGAGCTAAACAAGGCTGAATCTTCGCCGATATTTATATAAAATGATAAAATCTATGGTTTTATTAATGTAATAATACTATCCAAACAGCTAATGTTGTGATCAGATTTCAGCTAAAATCAAGCACTTTTGCCCCTTCTAATTTTTCTTTATAAATAAAACAAACAAACAAGTGTAAAATGACACGAGATCTTGGAAACCCTTGACCTTAATTTCTTCACTTTTTATTCTCATAAATATAGTAAAGGATAATTAACTACTTTTCGCCAAAAATGTAAGAGAAAACTTATGGATTAAAGGTGTTATCTTTTTCTTATTTATTCTTTGCTCACTCATTGAAACAATCAATGCCCGTTGATTAGTACTGAAAGTATGTCTGAGTTGCATGGCTTACTCTTCATTTTAAATTTTAAAAAAATAGCCGAAAGCAGTATCATGTAATCTATCAAAATCTTACCTAAACTTCCCCATTAATTGGTTTAGGATTTCACGATTAATTTATATTCTTTTTGTGTTCCTCTAGTAGAATTTTGAAAAATTATATATATACATATATGATCTTTTTTTATTCTCTATTTGACGCAAATAAAATAGTTAAAGTATATATATAGCTAATGAAAACCAAGCTTTTTGTCATAATATAATTAAAATCATATCTTGTAGCATAGGTTGTAAAAGTATAATGGGGGATGCTAAAATTATTTAATTTACCTAAGGTTTGATCTAAGAAAAAGGACAGCGAGATTTGTGGGGAACTTGGATCTGAGAAAACATAGATATAAGCACTGAAAAACATAATAATACCTAAAATTAATTAATAAACACATGCAGTAGTGTAATGTGTTGGTTACTGTGTATGAATTAGTAACAATTAGTGCATTTATTTTTCCACCAAAACGCCGTATAACTAAAACCAAGCTGACACATGTTTTTGCATTTATGACTTCAAGAACTAAAACCAACAAGATTCTTCCCTCGTGATCTAAACTTAGGCCCTTGCATTAATAGCGCTCCTCCTCCGTAGGAAAAAAATTATTTACGTCCAATATTTACATCAAATCGGTTGATATACTACGGTTAAATAATAAATCAAGGTAAATATATTTACATCAATATATATGTTTGTCGAACATAAACATATATCCAATATCTAGAGCTAAAGGTAGATGAGCTTTACTTTATGTACAAAAATGACGTGCTGCGATTTTGTCTACAGGTGATTTAGAAAATTTCCATTTTTTAAATATATTATTCGATATTCGGTATTATTACTCCGCTTAATTCAAATTCGTGTCGCAGATGATCCATTTAAAGGGAAAACATTCTCTACCAGAAATTTTACCATTCTCATAGCTTAAGCTCGAGACATCTAGTTAAGGGTGAAGAAGGTTGTTTATCCTAAAAAACGGATAACAATTAAATTTGTAAGTGATTTTAAGGATACATGGATTAATTCAATACAAACGGTAAATTGCGCTAGA